CAGACTTGAGTCCTGGAGGTGGGAAGTACAGTGCCTGCACTCTGAAGGAGGGGTGTTCATATGTTGCAGTTTTTTAACTGTAGTATAGGTATGCCCCTGGCAAGACAGTGATGGAGTGAATGATGATGATGATGACAGTGTTTCTTCTTTTTCAGGTCACCCTGCCTTGGTGGGAAATGGCCAATGTGTTAATAAAAAAAAAAACAGAAATAGTTCAAGCACTGCATCATAAATCTCTCTGCAGTAGGACTGATGAACTTATTAACCCTTAACCCGTAAATGGTCCAAACGTATATATACGTTTTTTCAACATTTGAAAGTATGTAAAAGAAGTAGATCTTCTTTTTGTTTTTTTACATTTGAAAATGTGTTAAAAAACTTAGATCTACTTTTGTTTTTTTCGTTATATTTGAAAATATGTAAAAAAAACGTAGATCTACTTTTGTAGCACTACACACGTGAACGTAGATCTGCTTGGACCGTTTACGGGTTAAACTGTCCAAACATAGATCTACGTTTGCATACGTAGCGCTCCAAATGTAGATCAACGTTTTATTTTTCATTCCTTCAAATTTGGCACAATAGGCTTGAGTCGCCTAGACATAAAAGAATGGGTCTGCGCACTCATTGTGTGCACTATTAAAAAAATCTTAGTATCCTGTGGGAGCACCAGTTCAATTGAGTGCCAGCTAGAGCAAATAGCATGGCAAACACCAGGGATTTACTGATGCCATGTCGCATTAACACTCTCATTTTAAGAGGAAAGTAAAAATAGGTTAGATAAATACACGAGCGAGTGTGGGTGGGTGTGAGTTGGACCTGACTAGCTTGTGCTACTAGGTCTGATGTCGTGCTCCTTCCTTCAGTGGATGTGACCTGACTAAGTGGGTCATTGGTCTAAGCCGGGGGAAAGGGTGGCGTACCTGCCTTGCATGGGCCAGTAGACCTGCTGCAGTGTTCCTTCTTTCTTGTGTTCTTATGTATTCGGCAGGCTGGCCAGCTGGCTTGCTTTGGTTGTCTCTGTCTATATCTCTATCTATCTATATCTCCGTCTATCTATATCTCCATCTATCTATATCCCCATCTATCTATATCTCCATCTATCTATATCTCCATCTATCTATATCTCCATCTATCTATATCTCCATCTATCTATATCTCCATCTATCTATATCTCTGTCTCACATGTACACATAAGTACAGTTATTATACATAGTGTAAATTACCTAGGATAATCCAGAAATTTCAGGCAAAGATAGATTTACACATAGACAGACAGATAGACAGAAACATGTTTGTGTGTATCAGTGAAAACAAATAAAGCCAGGGTTCCCCCGAGCACCCATTTATCAAATGTCACCGAGCTGAAAACAGATGTCATAACACAATTCTTCAAGGAGTGTAATATACATATACTCCAGGAAGATAGAAAGACAGATAATCAGACAGACAGACAGGCAGGCAGATAGACAGATAAATAGACAGAGACAAGACATGTTTGTGTGTAACAGTAATAACAAATACAGCGAAGGTTAGCTGGAGCAGTGGGCATTTATCAAATGTCACTAGGCTGTCAACAGAATAGGGATGCCTTTCATAACATGCTTCAAGGTATATGCCAGGGTATCTAAAACATTGCTGGGACCTATAAATACTTTGTATATATTTCTAGACAATAATAAATAACCCAAGCAAGTGTAAATGTTCACCTGTCAATGTGATTGTGACTATTTGAGCACTATTTCAGTACCTAATACAGTGGACCCCCGCCTTACGATATTAATCCGTTCCTGAGAGCTCATCGTAAGATGAAATTATCGTTAGCCGAATTAATTTTCCCCATAAGAAATAGTGGAAATCAAATTAATCCGTTCCTGACACCCCAAAGTATGAAAAAAAAAAATTTTACTACATGAAATTTTAATACACACAAACTGAAGAAGACATGCACAATTACTACTCTACTAAGAACAGAATATGTACATGACACTTACCTTTATTGAAGATCTGGTGATGATTGATGGGATGGGAGGAGGGGAGAGTGTGGAAGTTATTGTTTAGAAAGGGAATCCCCTTCCATTAGGACTTGAGGTAGCAAGTCCTTTTCTGGGGTTACTTCCCTTCTTCTTTTAATGCCACTAGGACCAGCTTGAGTCACTGGACCTCTGTCGCACAACAAATCTGCCCATAGAGCTCTGTACCTCCCGTTCCTTTAAGACTTTCCTAAAATGGGACATAACATTGTCATTGTACAGGTTGCCAACACGGCTTGCAGTAGCTGTGTCAGGGTGATTTTCATCCGTAAAGGTTTGCAGTTCAACCCACTTTGCACACATTTCCTTAATCTCTTTTTTCAATTCCATACTAATTCTCGCCCTTTTTACCACAGAGATGGCACTAGAAGCTTTCTTTGGGTCCATGGTGACTTATTTTGCAGTTTCAAGCACTAAAAACACTGGGATAATGTGAAATGTACCGAATGTATGCGTAGATGCAACCGCACTGGCTGGCTTGTAAACACTGGCGCTGAGGCCACACGTGGGATGCGTCCCGGATGAATCACGTAAGGTGAGTTTTTTATCGTGAGGCGAGGCAAAATTTTTGCGTTCAAATGCTTCGTATGGCGGATTTAACGTAACGTGATGCGTTCGTAAGGCAGGGGTCCACTGTATTAGTGTCAGAACAAAGATTGGGTATGAAAGTACAAGAATTATTATAAACTGTAATTATCAGAACATAAAAAATATATAAATTAAAATAAAAACGAGAAAGAAAGGTATATCAGCAACACTTCTGCAAGCGGCAGAAGTCGATGTTGCTGACAGGTGAGCATGTAGAGCCAACTTCACGGTTTTAAATCTCAGTAAGTACTGACCCTAAATTTTTTTTTTTTAATCCTATAACATGTAGAAAGATGTGCTCTTTAAAAAAAAAATAAAAAATATTCGGAGCACCACGCGAGTGAACGTAGATCTGCGTTTGGACAGTTTAAGGGTTAAAGGCATACTAGCAAAAGAAAAATAAGACTAAAGTTGTTGGTTCACCCTTAATATTGTATAGTGCTGTATAAGCAAAATCAGTAAGGGCTTGCAAGGTGAATAGATTATGAATAGGAAGTGGAAATCAAAAAGTGAAGTGCCCAGGGATGACACACAAGATGAGAGAAAGCAAAATCAACCCATTTAAAAAATATAAATTGTGTGACAAAATTTTGAGGGTACAGTATAGTGCAAAGACGGATCTAGGAGTTACAATAAAAAATTTATCAGATAAGAGGTGACTAAACTGCGAGGAGCAAGGGGCTAGTAACCCCTTCTGTATAAATTACTGCATGTAAGGAGAAAAACTTCTGTTTTTCTTTTTAGGTCACTGCCTTGGTGGGAAACGGCCGGGGCATTGAAAAAAAAATGAAATTGTGAAAATTGCATATGCTATTTTGGCTAACTAAAGCAGCCTTCAAATATGCATGTATTTATATGTATGGAGAACTGCTGTAAAAGCAAGTATCATGAATGACTTGGCATCTTCAAAATAAAGATGTATGTATTTAAACAGAAGAGTGTAGCATGACCAAGTGCAGTCAATATAACTAACAGGCAAACATCCTGACAAGTTTGACAGTCCCAAAAATAATTTTTGAGTTTAGATTCTCTTTAGTTATATTTTTTTTTGCCACATCCTTTATCTAGTTTCTGGATAGATATTTTGCCGATGAACTCTTTACACTATTTATTTATTTATTTATTAATTTGACGTGCTGTTGGAGTGTGAGCAAAGTAACATTTATGAAGGGGTTCAGGGAAACCGGCAGGCCGGACTTGAGTCCTGGAGATGGGAAGTACAGTGCCTGCACTCTGAAGGAGGGGTGTTAATGTTGCAGTTTAAAAACTGTAGTGTAAAGCACCCTTCTGGCAAGACAGTGATGGAGTGAATGATGGTGAAAGTTTTTCTTTTTCGGGCCACCCTGCCTTGGTGGGAATCGGCCAGTGTGATAATAAAAAAATAAATAAAAATTATTAATTTGAACATGATACAGTGAAGTACAAAGGAATAGAGTTATTACAGTGCAACATGCCAAAGCCCCATGTATGCAGAGCATTATGGGCAGGCTTAAAATTAACTTAAGATCAACTAAGCAATGATATATTCAGTGGTAAAAACATTATTGAAAACAGATAACAATTTAGCACAAATGAGTATTACAAAGACAGGTCATATGGTCATTTACTGTGTTGCTGTGCATTCAGTAGAATGGAGTATTCTGTTAGGTAATGTAATTAAAAAATAAAGTTTGATTGGGTCACAGGTTAGACATTTATGAGATACAATAATGAGAAACATTTATGAGATACAATTATTCAGTATTTATTTACTTGTGGGTGAGTAAGTGATTTTTGAGAAGAGACTTGAATTTATAAACAGACAGTGTTTCTTTTATATTCACTGGTACTGAATTCCAGATTTTAGGGCCTTTTATGTGCATTGAGTTTTTGCATAGCGTGAGATGGACACGAGGAACATCAAAGAGTGATCTGTGCCTTGTGTTATGGTCGTGTGTTCTGTCGAGGTTGGTAAGGAGACGTTTGAGGGGAGGGTTTATATCAGAGTTAAGTGTTCTATGAATGTAGTAGGTGCAGTAATAAGTATGGATGTTTTGTATGATGAGTAGGTTTAGAGTTTTGAATATTGGTGGAGTGTGCTGCCTGTAGTGGGAATTTGTTATTCTGACTGCAGCCTTTTGTTGGGTAATTAATGGTCTGAGATGGTTTATTGTTGTTGAGCCCCATGCACAAATTCCATAGGTGAGATAGGGGTAAATAAGTGAGTGATATAGGGCCAGGAGGGCTGACTGTGGAACATAGTACCATATCTTTGATAGTATGCCTACGGTCTTGGAAATTTTTTTGGAAATTTGTTGTACATGTGTTTGAAATTTGAGTCTATTATCAAGGTGGATACACTATAATTTTATTTATCCTTCATATGTTTTATGTTGACAGGGATGAGCATAAAAAACATGCTCCATACTGCCAGTTCATCCAGCTTAATAAATCAGAAGATACAATGACATTTCAAGACATGTATGATTTGGAGATGCATCGACAGTGTAACATGATTGTAAGTGTAACTTAAATTCATACATGCAGTGCTGTGTGTAATTACCATCTGGTTGGTCTGGTATTAAGTGTAGTGTGTGGAATTATCTGTTTAAGTTTGCTGGGGGAAAGGGGGTTTCTAATATATCTGTAACTCGTTTGTGTAGTTTCCAACCATACTTGGTTGCTTGTGTTGCATCTCTTGTAAAGGCTCTATCCCAGAGCATTTTCAATGACATGATCATATACCCTCTTTGTTCTTTATGGTTTCATTTTTTTTTTCTGGAGAAAATTGATTGAACTTCATTTTCAAATATGTTGTAAAACTCTTGTGTATTTTGTTTGTAGCTATTCCTTGTAATTTTTATTAGGTTTTACTAGAGCTGCATGATCTACATGAGGTTAATGCTTTCTTTTTCAGTGATAAATTTTGGTTCAGTGAAATATTGTCCAAGATCAGTATACACTAGTACTTTTTTTTTATATATATATATTTGCCAGTCTTGTCTTTATATCTTGCAACATATATTATCTTCATTGAAGAAAGTGATTGATTAAATAAATTCAATATCAGTTCCCAACTTTAGGAGAAAAAAAAAATTGCCCTCAAACTACTGTGAATGTGTTCAAGGTTAAAATTTTACTTACAATCACATGTATTTTTTAATTAGTAGAACATAGAATGGAAAAAGGTAAAATAAAAATAATTCTAGCATATTAAGAAACTTATTCTTTGGTCTCATTAATGTTTGGTGCCTTTATGAGCGCAGGGTACGGGATGTTTGAGATATGTATTTTTTTTTTTTTTTTTTTTTTACCTAACATAGCTTTACCTTCAATAAAAGAACTATATCATGAGATTTAAATACTGCAGATCAAAGGAGGCTAGAGGCAGTGATGTCATATTTGAGAGCAATGTAGGGTGTGAATATTATGCAAACAATTTGTATGAGCATGTTAGATATTGCGAATGGAGACAAGTGGTTTTTAATGAACGTGCTGTTGGAGTGTGAGCGGGGTAACTCTTACGAAGGGATTCGGATAAAGCTGGTTAGCCAGACTTGAACCCTGGAGGTGGGAAGGGCAATGTCTGAAGTCTGAAGGGAGGTGTGGGAATGATGCAGTTGGAGGGGTAATCTTATTGTGATGTCACAATTCTGGAAAGACGGTTTTTGAATGAATGTTGGCGAATGTGTTTTCTTCTTTGGCAGGAGATGGTCATTGTGGTAAATAGAAAAAAATAGTTTTCACATTTGTTGGATATAATTGATCAAACATTTTAATATTTCACGATTTTATATGAAATAAAACATTGGTCTTTTCTCACACTCATCGCCTAGCATTTATTAATGTTAATTTCAAGTGGTATCTTATTGAACTAATCCTGGTGCTTTTTGCAGTCCTTCTCTTTTTTTTCTTATTAGCTTTGTATCATTCACATTGACAGGTGTGTATTGATACCTCTGGGTAGGTTATTCTCATATCCATAACAGTACAAGTTGGATAACTGATTATGAAACCTGACTTCTCTTCTTCCTGCATAATTATATACTGGAGTGCGATAAAATTAATGAATTCAGAGAGACCTCCCTCAGAAATGTTTAAGAAATGGCAAAGTATTTTATCCACAGTGGTATATTACACACAATTCTGGAAAAATACACTGACTTTGCTCACTGTAAATAAAGCATTATCGTGTGTGTGTGTGTGCATGTGCATGCTCATGTGCTTTTAACTCATTACAATTGTGACTGGGTGTGGACGTGTCATTGGCTCATTACTTTGTAATTTGTTCATGATTCTAACCATGTATAGGAGTGTAAATGGTTCATTACCTTTGTAACTTGCCATGATTGTGACCAGATCTACCTGGAGTTCATTACCTTTGTAACTTGTTCAGCTATCATAACTTGGGGGCCCAATCCCTGGACCCATTATGTACCTCTGTAATCTTTTGACTACCACCCACAGGATGGGTATGGGGTGCATAATAAAGATATTAAACTAACTAAACTTCTTCCTAATGCAATATCTTCCATCTGATTCTCCCTCCTGTTTGTAATGTGTTTTATTATGCAGTACTTTTCTGTTTTTCTAATTTGTATCAAGCATCAGAGCAGTGGGGAATAGGTAAGCTGTTTGTCAATTTAAAAATAAAAGATCAGTTAAATTACTGTTCATTTAAAATGTGAATGACTATATGTAAGTAATGTAATTTTATTTTATTTTGCCAACAAACCTTCTGTTTCTATTACATTTATTTCCAGACAAAGATACTGAAAAAGAAGCTGGAAGAGTTCAAGAAACAAGCTGAGGCGACACGAGAAGTTCTACAAAGTCTTGTCTAGTTACTCTCTTGCAATTTATACAGTAAACCTACAGTTTTCTTTTCTTTTCTTTCTTTTTCTTTTTGGGGTTTTTCTTTCTTTTTGGGTCACCCTGCCTCAGTGGGGTGGCCAACTTGTTAACAAAAAAATACAATTTTATACAGTGGGGAACCAATATACATGTAGTGTTAGTATCTTTTGAAAATTTATAGTTGCGTGTTTGATACTTGGAACCCATTTTCTCAGTGTGGATGTAGTATAGTGTAGGTAGGTAGTAGCGAGTATATTTCCTTGAGTGTGCGTATGGCAAGAGGTCCTATTCCTCATCCACTGAACGTGTCCAGTATGCTGGCTAATGAAACAGATTGAAGAAAATTGTAAATATTAAATCTATGGTTCTGGATCAATCTACCAAACAAATGTGAATACTCTGTAAATGCATTATTTATTTAGAATAAGTAACATCACAAAACTAAAATTATAAATGCTAAACCAATATTGGTATAAGTATAATAAACTGAGCAGTGACAAAGTGGAAGGGTTCAAAAATAGATATGACTGCTGTTCCATGCCAGAGGTAAAGCCAAGAGCTAGAATTCCTCCTGCAAACTCCAAATAGGTAATTACAGGTGTCTATACATTGAATAGTATTTCTTAAACTTAACATTAAAAAATGGCTTTAGATAATTTGTGTGTTGCCAGTGGTGGGCACGGCTAACCGAAAAGTTAGCTTTGCTAACCGCTAATCCTTGCTGTACAGTCCTTGTGGCTTAGCGCTTCTTTTTTGATTATAATAATAATAACCGCTAATCCGCTAGCTAAAAAATTAGCTCCGTTAACACAAAACGGTCGAAAACGTTAACAGAAGCTAACACTAAATGCTAACCTCTAACTTTTTCACATGAATTCAGATTCGGTTTAGTTGTTTGGTCTTTTACTTTTAAGACTTTTAGAACAGACCTGGAGAGCTTACTAATAAGATATAAGGTTTTAACGAGACAAGATTTCTGCAAAATAAAGAAAATGATGAAAAGTGAAATTTTGTTAATTTTTTAGGCTAATGGAAAGGACAGTGTTGCAAACAGTACTCATCTTTAATACTCGAGTATAAGTACCAGTGTTGTAAAGTAATGAAGTAAAACTACTTGAGTATTTTACTTAAGTAACAGTTTTTGGTATTTGCTTTTTAAAAAGTACTGAAATTGCTCATTACTTTTACTTAAGTACTGAAGTCTGTTATTACTTTACTTCACTACAATCTGATAATGATACATTATTCGCTGCAGACTCCTCAACAACACCTCAGGAGGAACAGAAACATCTCCCCTGTTCATGATGATGAGTGACAATGCACCCTGGTGATCGCTGACACTGTAAGACTATAACAATGCTGCTGCTGCGTTGACAAGTCATGTTTACACGTCAGCCAATAGCATTCCTGACTGACTGTTGGAGAAACACCCACAACAGACAGGAACAAACACGTGCGCCATTGAAAAGGCATTGCTTCCTGACAACCAACAACGTATGAAATTTTTTTTAGCGGACTGAAAGTTAGCGGAACTTTATTTAGCAGAAGCTAATTGGTCTGCTAACGGTTTCCAAAGTTAGCGGAAACACTAATCCGCTAAACAAAAAGTTAGTTCCGCTAATTAGCGGTTAGCGGAACTGTGCCCACCACTGGCTGTTGCTAATGTCAATAATTTAACTCGGGAAAGAAACTGAACTCTGTAGATAGAGCATGGACACTCAGCAAGGATGTTACACTCTTTAATATCTATAGTTTCCTATTTTCTTAGGGGCTTATACAGATACATGTGCTGACAGTTGTAATGAACTGCAAGAATTAAATTACAAAGTGGTTGGAAATATACATTGTCATCTGGAGCATTTGACTTCTCACTGATCTTAAGTAGCCAGAGTACAACCATGTTCTACTTTTAACTTTTTTTTTTTTTTAATTTCTTATGCCTTTCTATCATAGGAAAAGGATTATATATGATAGTTGTAAATAATTATGAATCACTGCCACTAAGGTAGTTTGATAAATACCTACCAAATAGTGTTAAACATATTGGCCATTTCCTAGCAAGTAGTAGTCCTGAGAGAATGTATTTTAGAAGACTTCCCCCCTCAGCTAAGGTGGTCTCAAGATTCACTTGTTGAAGGCTTTAACAAAATTTATATACATATATTGTAGTGTACATGTATCAGCATATACAGTATATAAATGTTCTTTATAGATGTCATTTTCTAAATATTTTGAAGAAAATTCAGGTTGTAGAAATGTTATATTTTATATGAATTATCTTCAAACTTGCATGTCTTAATTAGTTATCTTAACTCTTAAATGGTCCAAACGTATATATACGTTTTTTCAACATTTGAAAGTATGTACAAAAAATGTAGATCTTCTTTCTTGTTTTACATTCGAAAATGTGTAAAAAAACTTTTATCTACAATTTTTTTTTTTATATTTGAAAATATGTAAAAAAAACATAGATCTACTTTTGGAGCACTACGGATTTGAACGTCGATCTGTTTGGACCTTTTAAGGGTTAAATGTATAATTTTGAAATGTGCAAGACCTTGTGATGTTACAAGTTTATGTATTCTGACTTATGATGGATTTGAGACTTTGAATACTGCATAATCATTTCAGACAAGTTTTGCAAGAGGTTTTTACACTTCCATTAACTCTTTATATGGACTGTTGTTTGTATGGTCTACTGTTTCACTGGTTTTCCAAGCAGTCTTGAATTTCATGTGTTCATGTTTTAATTTTTTAAGACTTACTCTTGGTAGAAATTGAGAAAATTTGGATAGTATCCAACATTAGGTGAAACATTAAATCATTACGCTCAGGAGGTCCCTCCAATTCCTGTGGCACTGTATAATCAATGAGTTTAATGCTCTTCCTCCCACATGAATATAATACGTCCTCGCTTAACGACGGAGTTCTGTTCTTAAGACCACATCGGTTAACGAATTCATTGCTAGGTGAGGAGCATACTATAATGGTAGTGGATTTGTATCAACCATCTTTGATATTGCTTAAATGCCACCTTTGCACAGTATGTTCTTTAATTAATGCCTTTACAGTAATGTACTATATATTGTAATAACAGAATAGAGGAAATCTGCTCTAATGAACATTATTTAGGTATATATATTCATCAGAGAGCCCATCATGAGTCTGAGGCGTCGGTAAATGAGTATGTCGCCAAGTGAGGAGATGCTGTACTGTACAGTCACAAGGAAATGATAAACCTGTAGATGTCATACAACACCTGGGTAAATGAGAGTCAATCAGGTTTGATACAAGGAAGCAGATGTCAGCTCCAGTACTTCGATCAAGTGCTTTCATGGTATTGAGGACCCTCCCTTTGGGTGAAATTTAAAAAATCCAGCACAGAGACCAACCTATTGCATCTTGCCTATTTTTAGGAACTTTAAGTATACACAGTTTAGTTGCTATATTAACCTTGTTAAGTTTACTGTGTGAGGTTAGCCAAATAAAAATGCATTTTCTATAATCATCCTCTTTTACTTTATTAATAATGTAAATATGTTGTATAACCATATGGGTTTAGCACACTTTTAATGTACAGTACAGTATTTGTTACTTGGTCATCTGTATTACATTCATAATAGTAGTACTGAACATCCCCTGAAATCACCTGATTACTGTGCCTTGCAGCACAGTAATCAGGTGATTTCACAAGCTACCCCATGCCATCTCAAATAACCACTTATTCTTTCATCATCACTACCTGCCTCTCATACTTCACCGTTATGCCTCCATGTACGGTCATTCTTGACCCATGTTTACCTGGAGAGAGTTCCATGGGTCAACACCCCCGTGGCCCGGTCTGTGACCAGGCCTCCTGGGGGATCAGAGCCTGATCAACCAGGCTGTTACTGCTGGCTGCACGCAATCCAACATACTAGCCACAACCCGGTTGGTCAGGTACCGACTTTAGGTGCTTGTCCAGTGCCAGCTTGAAGACTGCCAGGGGTCTATTGGTAATCCCCCTTATGTATGCTGGGAGGCAGTTGAACAGTCTCGGGGCCCCTGACACTTATTGTATTGTCTCTTAACGTGCTAGTGACACCCCTGCTTTTCATTGGGGGAATGTTGCATCGTCTGCCAAGTCTTTTGCTTTTGTTGTGAGTGATTTTCGTGTGCAAGTTCGGTACTAGTCCCTCTAGGATTTTCCAGGTGTATATAATCATGTATCTCTCCTGCCTGCGTTCCAGGGAATACAGGTTCAGGAACTTTAAGCGCTCCCAGTAATTGAGGTGTTTTATCTCCGTTATGCACGCTGTGAAGGTTCTTTGTACATTTTCTAGGTCAGCAATTTCACCTGCCTTGAAAGGTGCTGTTAGTGTGCAGCAATATTCCAGCCTAGATAGAACAAGCGACCTGAAGAGTGTCATCATGGGCTTGGCATCCCTAGTTTTGAAGGTTCTCATTATCCATCCTGTCATTTTTCTAGCAGCTGCAATTGATATAATGTTATGGTCCTTGAAGGTGAGATCCTCTGACATGATCACTCCCAGGTCTTTGACGTTTGTTTTTCGCTCTATTTTGTGGCCGGAATTTGTTTTGTACTCTGATGAAGTTTTGATTTCCTCGTGTCTACCATATCGGAATAATTGAAATTTCTCATCGTTGAACTTCATATTGCTTTCTGCAGCCCATTGACAGATTTGGTTGATGTCCGCCTGGAGCCTTGCAGTGTCTGCAATGGAAGACACTGTCATGCAGATTCGGGTGTCATCTGCAAAGGAAGACATGGTGCTGTGGCTGACATCCTTGTCTATGTCAGATATGAGGATGAGAAACAAGATGGGAGAGAGTACTGTGCCTTGTGGAACAGCTTTTCACCGTAGCCGCCTCAGACTTTACTCTGTTGACTACTACTCTTTGTGTTCTGTTTGTGAGGAAATTATAGATCCATCTACCAACTTTTCCTGTGATAAAGATTTCATGACTAAATTGTTTTTTCTAATACAGATATCCTAGTTTGCTCACATTTTCCTTAAACTACCCCCACAGATTTATTTTACTTTTTTTTCTGATCATTCTTGAGAATCAGGCATCACATGTTTACAAATTTATATAAATCTGTGGAGGAGTGTTGAGGATGTGCAAAATTTAAAAAATTTTTAAATAAGAATATTTTATTAATAATGATTGTCTCCTAGTACTGTACAGTGAATATAAATGTCTCGATACTACTTGTACTTCAGTCCTTCACCAGGTGTTTTTTCATATTCATCATAGACTGGAAATGATGTTTTTGAAATCTGAAAAAAAAAAAAAAAAAATTCATTACTGTACATGTAAATTTTCAAAATAAAGTTTAGAATAAAAATTCTATAGGATGTAAAACAAAAATCAAAACTATTAAGTAGGTATACAAAAAATATTGCTAGTGTTCAAATTTAAAATGTAAAGGGGGCTTTTAGACAGATTTGGTATGACTACATGTACTATTCTTGGGCCCTAAAAAAAAATTTTTAAAAGGACAAAATAAAAATCTGAATTGAAAATTTAAAAGCTTAGATTTTAGCAGCAAATTTTTTTAAAACCCCCCTACACATACGACACACAATGATTATACTATCAAACACTGAAATTTACACGTTTTTAAAAATTTGGAATTTCCCCTTTTTTGGGGAAAACCCTGATTACTACCCATTCTCCCACACTGCAACCCCGCAGTTTTTAACCCTTTAAAATGTCCAAAGTAAATCACATTCAAGAACCTTGGTCTAAAAAAATTAGCCCTATGGGTCTTCTTCCCAGCCCGAACCTAATTACCCCCCTTCCATCCTCCCCTTTTTTTTCCTTTCCTCCTCCTCCCTCCCCACCCCCCCTTTTTCCCTTTTCCTTTTTTTTGCCCTTTGGGGATTTCTCCCACGGGCGCGCTAGTTCCGGGGTAGGGGGAAAGGGATCCCGGGGGCCCACCCCATTCCTTAGTTTTTTGCAGGGGCTGTTTCCCGGGGAATTGGATCGCCGGGGGAACCCCCGACCCTCTCCGTACCCCGGAGTAGCTTTGGGTGTCTTTCGGGCGACGGTGTATCTGGAAGCCATTTTTCGGTTTCCCGGGGGGGGTGGCCGAAGGGGTATGCTTTGTGGGGTATCGGCCCCCCTCTTTTTTGCCACCGAGGAGCTCGGCAGATGTGGGGTTTCTACCCGGATTGTTTTTTTACTAGCTGAGGGGTAGGGTAGGCACGGGTTCCATGCTGCTCTCGCTACTTGCGGGTGCTGGGGTCCTCTTGGGCGCGGAGGGGAATTTCGGGCCCCTTTCTTTTCCCCCCTTGGACTACCCCCCCGGCCCCCCCCCCCTTTTTTTTTTTTTTTTTTTTTTTTTTTTTTTCTTTTCTTTTTTTTTTTTTTTTAAAAACAAAAAAAGAAGTAACCAACCATGGCAGCCTACCCATGAACCTGGACCCCCGGGCCCCTTCTGATACCGCACCCCGTTTCTGACCCCGCCCGTCTTTGGCCCACTCTTCAGAATTCCCACCCTCTGTACCTTTTGCCGGTGCTTTTCCCCTCACCCGCTTCGGGTACGACCCTCGACTGACTCCTTCGATTTATCAACCTTCGTCTCCTTGACATGTTTCCCGGCCTCCCCTCTCGTGCGGCAATTTTAAAATCGCCGACCCTTTCCACGTCGGACCAACTCTGGTCCACCCTAAAACGTCAACGACAATTACCTCGATGATACTTCTCCCCTTCCCCTTTCCGTTTTTTCCAGAAACGATCAAACACCCCTTCACTCCTTTTTCCACGCTCATTTCAAAACTAAACAGTGGACTACTTCCTTTACGACCAACTTCCTCTACTCCCATCTTTTCTGACCATAGTTTGGCAAGGCACCCCTAGCCATGTTGGTAAAGATATTTCTTTTCATGCCTTAAGAGCGGTACGCGCATCTTTTACCGACAGAATGCTACCCAGGCCGTGAGCTCTCTCGTCTTTCCCATTAGATACTTTTCCTGTCCCCTTAAAAACATCATTCCCTAAATTCTTTGTATGGTACCGCATTCTCCCCCATACCATAGTTCAAAAAAATTTCCAGACATGGGCACCGACATTCTAGAACAGCTGGAACTCCAAGATCTCCCCCAAACCTCAAAGGGAGACACTTTCGTTCTTCCTGCCCGTGGGCAGCATACCCCGAATTGGTTTTTTAATTTTTACGCCGAGAAGTCCCATCCCATTTTTTAAAAGCAGGACATCGGTTAAAAAAAACGAAAGGGGATCCCTACACCACAACAGGTAGAAATTTCTGGCGATTTGGCCTCCAGCGAAATATTGCGACATCGCCGAATTTCCCCCTTCTGGGTGCCCATGACCATTCTAATACTCTTTCAATCGACTCCCCCTTGCCTTTTTAAATTCGAGGTCCCCCTTCGTACTCTCCCCGTTGTCAGGTCTATTTAAACGAGGGGAAATCCTTACCTAAAGAGACGAAGGTTCCCCTTATGCCATGGCAGTTCTATCTCCCCCTCCAAGGGAGACTCCCAGTGTTTCTTATTCCCGGTTTTTTAAAACGTCCCCCCCCTTCTGGTATCTTTTCACCCACCTCGTGGTTACCTCTCCCATAATCACTCCTGTATTAATCCTTTTTCTGTCCTCGGCCGACGTCCCCCACTTCAACGCCTCGTCTAACTCCCTTTTTCGATTCTCTCTTAAAGCCTCAGTATCGCTAACCTCGTAGCACCTCTTCCCAATCTCCCCTACCCCAAAAATCAAAAAAAGGGCCGGGAACACCCCTACCCCCTCTTCCACCTCCCATTTTTCCCTCCCTGTCTCTGTCCCTAGTTCTTCCCCCTCATGGCTCATTAAAGTGAGAGGGTTTCCCCCCCTCCTCGTAATGACCTTCCCCCCCTTTTCCCCCCAAGTTTCTCTTTCCCTTTTTTGCCACCCCCCAGGTTCCCGTCTCTTCTGTCCCCTCCACGCTTTCCAGTTCCCCCACCCTTTGCCCCCCCCCTACCCTTGGGACAGTCCCAAAACAGTTTCCAATCTTTACCATCCTCCCCTACCATTCCCAATTTTGTTCCCAAAACGACATCTCTAAATTTCCGAAACAATTGAAGAATCTCTAATATATTGCAGAGTCCAAACCATCAATGGGGCACTGATCCCCCTTTCCCCTATTCCTCTCCTCTGCTCCATCTGCGCAACCCCCTTTCTTCAAGCGCACCGTTCCCTTTCCTGCTTGAACATTTTCCCTGCCTCCCCTGTGACTTTTCTAACCCTTTTAGTCCGTAGGGGAAACCCTTACCTGCTTTAAAATATCTTTATCTTGCCAATCATGGGCCTTTTTACAGTGGAATAACCGGCCTCGGGTAACGGGGGGAGCTTCAATTTACCCCTCCCAGTTTGCCCCTTTGGTGTTTGCTTTCAGGGAAAAAATTACACTTCCCGTTTTTTCCACATCTCAGGCTATAATTTATTGTATTTTTTCAGATCCTTTTCCTGATGGGACCTTTTAAAGAAAGTGCCCTTCTTCTCCCCACTGATATTCCCAAACCCTCAGCTATTTGTTCAACTTTCCCGCATTACACGCAGCCCGTACCCCTTTCATAGGTGGGTTTCGCTCTGTTTTTTTATCTCTCTCCTTTTCCGGGCATTATCTATTCCGGATTTTGCCCTTTCCTTTTTTCGTCATTTCCGCCACCGATTCTTTACTTGGTGATTTTAATGCCCACCCTTTCCTTGGGGGGGGTCTCACTGTATTCCGTGGATTTTTTTAAGGCTTTTTTGCCACCCACCCCCCCCCATGTTTTAAATACAGGTACTCACACCCATTTGATCCTCGGACTCAAACTCTCTCTTGCATCGTCTCTCAGTTTCCTTCCTCCGCCGCTTGATTACTTGGTCGTCTCCGGGCTTTTCAGACAGTGATCATTTCCCAATCATTCTTACTTCCCCTTTAATTTGCCACCTCTTGCACCCCACGCTGGCAATTTTAAACGGGCAAATTGGAACCTTACTCACACCTGACGTTTTTTAAAAAAGGTTCCTTCTCGTCCCCATCGATGAGCTTTTACACCCTTCCGCCCCGTTTTCACCGCAGCTTCTCATTCTATACCCCAAACTTCGGGCAGGCTTCTCAGAAATTCGTGCCTTGGTGGGCTCCGCTTGGCTCGTGCAGTTTCGTTTAAAAGGCCCGCATGGGGCGGTACCGGTACAATAGAACCACAGAGCGATCCTGATTTTAAACAGAACGTGCGATCGCTCGCCGTTCATCCGTGACGCTAAACCATTTGCGGCAGATTATGTCTCCCCAATACCTCTGTTTCCCTCTATGGGTGCAGTCTAAAAAAGTCAAAACTGATGGTAAATATTCCCCTGCCCCGGCTCCTGTTCTGCGGGTTGCCGGTGTGATATAGCAAAACCCACAGATGTTCCCAATGAAATTGGCAATCATCTGGTCCGTATTCTCGGGGACTCCATCTAGCCCCCTCATTTCTTTCCTCAAAGTCCCAGAGAGTTAGCCCCCTTGGACTTTTCTTCTCTCAGAGAAGAACAGTATAATGTGCCTTTACACCTTCAAGAATGGAGGAACACTCTCAGTTGTCGATCATCGCAGCTGGGCCCACGAATTCAAATTCGTATGCTACAACATTTCTTTCAGTCACCCCTGCAGTCCTATTAGCCTTTACAATCTTATTTGGGCACAAGGAGTTCTTCCACAGCTGGGAAATCCGCCTTGTTCCCCCCTTTTTCCGCAAAGCGGGAAAACCTACGGGACAGAAACCTCCCACTATCGCCCCATTGCTCTTCCGTCTTTTTGCAAATAATGGAACGTCTAGTAAATAACTTTAGGTGGTATTTAGAGACAACAACGTCTCCCCACCCCCGTAAATATGGTTTTTCGAAAGGGATTTTCTCCCCAAGACCCCCTTTTTTCCTTGGATAATGTTCGTAATGTTTTTGCGAATAACCACTCAGTTTGCCATTTTTTTTGCCTTGAAAAGGGTTGACACAACTTGGGGGTAAATTTTTTCCCAAGCCCACCCTTAGGCCTTTCAGGCAATTTACCATCCTTCCTTAAAACTTTTTTAACGACAGGCATTTCCCTGTTGGGGTTAAAAAATGGCTCCCCCCGGACTTTATCCAAGCTGAAGGTTCCCCCAGGGATTTTCTGAGCACAACATTTTTTCTCCTTGCTATTAATGATTTGGCCTCTAGTTTTCCATAAAATATTTTCATCACTCTATTTTGAGACTTCGCTTTTCCTGGGAGGCGCTGACTGTCACCCCTTACAGTTTCTCCCCAGCATGCGTCG